TTTTGCCTATCAACCACATAATTCAGTATGACAGGTGGATGAGAAGGCAGAGAAATTTAAAATGTTATGACTCTTTGCCAAAATGAGGCCAATGCAAAACAAATAAAAGTATTGGAAATCCTAATTTACATCAGTGAACACATTATTGTACTCACCAAATTGTCTATTGGATTGAATAAAAAATAAAAAATAGTCCAATCTATAGGAGAGAATGAAGGAATACTAGAATTGCTAATGTAGCCCTAATATAGCACCTGAGATGGAGACTGTTCAATACAATATACTATAAAAACAGTAAATTCATGAATGACTGAATATGTATGTTCAAGGAATGAGAGGAAGGATAGATAGTGCTAATGGCTGTCACAGCCTCCTCCTTAAGCCCCAACCTGCCACTGCATCTTTTATTTCTAAACCATTAGCCACATTCTGAGGGACGTGGTTGGACTGCCTCAGTATAACAGATGTCTTTATGTTTATAAATTGTGTAAATCTGTGAGGGAATCAGATTCACAATTATGGGTACATACACTTATGGGAGGAATTCTTAAGAACTTAGAGAAAATGCTTTTAGAAGAACTCCTTCCTTCAGTCCCACCTACATTTGTAATCTCTCCCTCTGGGTATGATAAACACACTTGCCCCAGACTCAGGATGCCTCATTCCATGATATATCCTATTTGGTCATTAAATAACAGGACTCAATATTAATGTTGGCCTTCTCCATCCCTTTAAAACAAAGTGTTTTCAGCCAAAGATATTAAACTAGTCAACCGCTCTTTTCTCCTGTCAGAGAAACAGCCAGCATCCTGAAATCACAGCTCATTTGTACCACATTGGCGTGAATATTCAGACTCCATTTGTCTCCAGCTCTTAAAAGCTGGTGTTAGAGTGAATGACAGACATTTTGTTTTGAGTTAGCAGAAAGGAGGAGGAAAAAAAGGCCCAAGTAATAATTTTGGCCTAAAATATCTGTTTCAGGGAATGCAGCTCTGCCCTTTACTTAGTGAAAGTCGATTTAAAAAATCTAGATTTAATTTGGAATTAAGTTGGGCCTGGGATATAGAGAATGGTAGGAAGGAAACTGTTTCAGATTCCTCCCCACCCCACCAACCCCAGACCTAGCACTTGTTCTACCTAAATCCTATTGGAGTATGGCTGCACGTAGTGCAAGATATTCACTATTTCAGGTTGTTAAACCTCCCAAAGCAGAGCTCAGAAGCAGCCGAATTTGTGTTCTTGGATTGTACAAATCCAATCATAGTTGGAGCCTCAGGTAAGACTTCTGATCATTTTGGTTGAAAGCTATTAAGTAGCACAATCATTCTTTATCTCTTTACTCATGACTGTTAGGCAAAAGTCTGGAAAGAAGTTCTAGAAGAACCTTTTTCTAGAAAGTACTCCTGGCACCACTGTCTATTTTTTCCCCCTGCCCTCTGTGGCCGTCATATTGGCTTGCCCGCCCTGGACCAACCTCCTTCTGTCAACAGCCATGCTAGGCAGGGATGGGTGCTTCCATGGAGGCACCTCTTAAGGCCAGGTGTAATTCCCTGGCCAGGAAAACTCCACCAGGCCAAAGTTACAAAATCTGCATATGGTGATGTTGGAATGTCCTCTTACCCTTCTTAACATGAAGGTTCCAGAACGTTGATGAGACCATGGAATTTGTGTTCCTCCTCTTCCCTCAACCCCTAACCAAACTTGGGCTCATTGTGTATTTTCTTCCTATACCATATGACAAGGACTTGAGTGTGGGCTCTTGTAGGTGAGACTCTTGAGGAAGGAGTGGATTCAAGACATTCTCACATATGAGGCTGGTTCTACAGCTACTATCAGAAATCTATAGAGAAGATTCTTAGTATAAGAAAGATTCCTTCAGATCTTGTGATAGCAAGTTTGGGCACACTTGAACTAAACAAGAGACTGAGCACTTTATTAAGGGTGTCCAGGGAGACTTGTTCTGCAAAACTCAAGGAAAGAGGAAGAAAAAAACCTCTTTCCTCTCCATCTGGAGCTTCAACTGACTCCAAAAATATTGGCCCATTGTGGTTATAAACTCTCCCATTTATGCTGTTCTTAAACAAGGGCAAATACTTACAATTCAAAGTACTTCTTTTACATGTTCATAGGAAAATCATCTTTCTCTCCAAACCCTGTAGCTGACTGAAATTAATGAAACACAGTTGGGAGGCACCTATGCTGGCCACTGGCCACCATTCATTTGGAACACCCCATCTAGACCATTCATGAATTGTAGAGCTATTTTCTCTTGACTACAAAATTTCTCCTTTCTCATTATAGGTAAAAACCACTGACTCAGGTGTCACTGATACTTTGGGTAGCTGCATAAAAATTGGCATCTTTCCCTGGCTACTCAAAGAACACCAAGAGGGAAGTGTGGAAGTGAGTAGTCTAAGAAACCTGGTATCTTACAGTTCACTAGAGAAAATGGTGGGGTTTGTAGACAAGAAAGAGGAAGTTTCCAGACCTCAGATAGCCTCTTCCACTGTTACCAGACAATCCAAGGAAAGATCAAGATTCTGCTAAAGAAAGAATTAAGAGAGAAGGAGAGGGGAAAAAATGCAAAAAGAAAATTTAAAGCAAGAAAAGTAATACTGGAAAATGAAATGGATAAATATTTTTCCTTCTTTTATTTGTCACAGAAAGCAGGAAAAATTAAGGAAACTCATACTCGGGTAAACCTGGCCTCAATAGAAGGGTAGAGTGGGGAAACCAGTAGGGATCAGCAGACTAAGGAAGGAGTTCAGTGCAAAGGACATACATTCCCCTCTACTGAGTCCTTTACTGACTGTCTAGACAAGATGATGTTCTATGGCATCAGTCCCTGAGAAAGATCTGCCTTCTGTCTCTTCGTACATTGAGGAGTCCAATGCCAGGCTCCTCTATTGTCCAGTCTGATCAGCTTTGATTGGCTGATGAAAATGGCCCCAAAGGGAAGGCATTGATGTTTGAGACCCAACCTGGCAGAAACTTAGGGAGTCAAACACATGCTCATGGGTGCAGTTTGCTAGAGGATGGCAAAGGTAAGGAGGGCAAGCCCCAGAGGAATAGTTTGGGGCATAGCTCCAAAGGAAAGGACAGAAGAATAAATAAAATAGGGTCAAATAAATGAGGAGAGAGAAAAAGGCAGACATACACATGAGTTAATATACCTGTTCTTACAAACCCTCATTAAGAATCGCATGTAGATTTCTTCTTCATGGGAGGGTTCCTCTGTTATTTACCAGGAAAACCTACACACCAATCTCTGGTGGCATTTTGGAAACACTTTTCCTCTCTCTCCACACAATCTCTCTGGATGACCTCATCCTCTGCCATGGATCTAATTCCTAAGTAGAGGTTATGACTGAGAACATCTCTGTCTCCAGCTCTCACCTGAACTTCAGACTGGTGTATGCCCTTGATGTCCCACAAGTCCTCATACTCAGTAAATCACACTCTAAGCTCATGGTCTTTCCTTCTTGTCTCCTGGAACAGCATTCTCATGGAAGAGTGATAGGATCTGGGGCAGGCTCATGCTATGTACTATCTCCTACTACCTTTTTGAGGAGAGAGGTAACGTTCTGCTGTCAGCTAATCATGTTTTTTCTTTTGGCCACTCTCCAGTCTTGACTTACTTCTACCTGTTGTGGTAAAGGGCAGCAAATGAGGAAAAAGTGCCACTAATAATCATCACTGGGAGATAGTCTTAAGGCAAATAACTTACAGGTTCAGAAGTTATTTCTAATCATTCATTCATTCAATAAATGTTATTAATGTCTATTATATATACAACATCCCCTACTGCTGTGAGAGATGTAAAAACCACACTCTTCGATTTCAAAAATTATACGATGTCTTGGACAATTAGAGCCACACAATAAAGGGCTGTGACACACCACAGAATAACCAAGTGTTCTGAGAGTGATGTCAATGCTAAGGAAGTTCGGGAGAGGAACCTGAGGGAAGTGCATCTGCAACAATCTAAAAATCAGCATGTTAGAAACACATGATGATGGGCTATTATGGATTGAATTGTGTTGCCCCAAGTTTGTATGTTCAAGTCCTAACCTCCAGTACTTCAGAACGTAACCTTATTTGAAGATCAAGTTTTTAAAGAGGTAATTAACTTAAGATGAGGTGATTAGGTAGGTCCTAATCTTCTAGGACTGGTGTCCCTGTCAGAAGAGGAGATGCTGGACACACGGAGAGAGACACCAAACACGTGTGCATGCTGCAGTTGGCCATGTGAAGACACAGGGAGAAGACGGCCATCTGAGAGCCAAGCTGAGAGGCTTCAGAAGAAACCAAACCTGCTGACATCTCACCAGAACTGTGAGGAAATTTCTGTTGTTTAGGCCAGCCAGTCTGTGATATCTTGCTTTGGCAACCTGAGCAAACTAATACAGGCTGCAACTAATAGAATCTGGAAACAACGATTGCCTGAGAATCACGCTGAATTTCCAAAAAACTTTCTCTCCTACTGGTGCCACCCTGGGTAAAACTGTGAACAAGTGAAGTTTCCCTTACTTTCTCCAGGCTCCACCTTCTGCAATCTCCTCTTTTGGCCCCCCAGTAGACCTTCTGCTTGTGGAATTTCTCCTCCCAGCTGAGGAGGGTTCATGGGAAGTGACCAGTACTTACTGCCCCTGAAACTCCCATTGTCTGTGCAAAGGTGAACTTACTCACTGGGGAAGACTGACTCATGACCTCTCTGTTCCCTCAAGTCATCAGCATCCTTTGCAGGAAGTGAGGACTTCATTATTGATCTAGAACTGTTTTGTTTAAGATATGTATGCAGGAAAGAAATAAAGCAAAAAATCAAATTATAAAACAGAAAAACAATTCTTTGACAGATTAGTTGGTAAATAAACCATGAGGACTATAGTAGAAAGACTGGCTTCTCACAATGCATCTTTAGGTGCCAGAATTTAGAAAATCAGGCAGAGAGGCCAGGAGCAGAGCCTCCCCATCCCCACAATCACATAAATGCTACTCACAAGAAAGCAATCAGATGTCCACTTCTAAGCCTTCTGGTTGATCACCAATCCCTGCAGAATTTGATTGAAGGATCTCCAAATGTTTCAATGACACCTGGTATAAAAGGAGGATGAAGACATGATTAAGTAGAGTGAATTTTACTTAATGTAGACCATATATTTTAAAATACAATCTCTTCCTCAGGTACTATTATGAGTTAGGACCTAAAAGGGGAAATAAAGCATAGATAGAAATGGATACTGTACATTTGTATTTTAAAGAATATGAATACAATTATTCCAGAGTCAACCCCTAACTTATTCTAAATAATGGGGTAGAGAAGGTGGTACAGTTAATACAAAACAGGGAATACTATAAATGCCAATAATCAAAGACAAGGACACCCCTTCTCCAAGCCCAACCCTCAATCCTTCTAAGCTTCAGACTCTCAAGGACCTTTGCACTCTTTGCTTTCTCCACAGTTTTCTTCTGGTGATGGTCAGGAACTTGACTGATCAGTAGAAGAAGGTCTGGAGGATTACAAATAATGATAGAAATGTACTAGTAATCTAGAGTTAACTCACACTTGAAACACATTAATAAATATTAAACATCAGAATGACCAAAGAAATAACAACTGTGACAGTAAATCACCACCATACCCCTAAGTCTTCCCCTAACATGATGCAACCAGGGCTTCTAATGAGTATGAAATGCAACTTGGGGCTTTTAATGTTTGCCTTTAATGGAGCAGAGTAATGGGTCTCAAGTGGACTTTAAGAATATAGCTTGCCTTCCTCCATCACCACCCTCTGCCACTTGGCATTGGAAGAAAACAGCTCACAGAGGTTAAGGGACTGGCTTGCAATTTCACTACTAGAAACTAGGCTTGGATTCCTAGATTCTCATTTCAGCTTTCACAAGTAAAAAACAAAACAAAACAAAACAAAAACCTCCGTAGTGTGTTACTTATAGTTTACATCCATCTGAGGGAGGTTGTTTTGCAAACTAGGGATCAGGGAACCTTGAGGGTTCACAAATTCAGCAGCAAATCCAGGTACCATCCCTTTCCTTATTTTTTTTTTAAATTCAAGTTAGTTAACATAGAGTGTAATATTGGTTTCAGGAGTAGAATTTAGTAATTTATCACTTACATATAACACCCAGTGCTCAGCCCAACAAGTGCCCTCCTTCATGCCCATCACCCATTTCCTTAATCTTGAGCTGCCACTCAGCCATGTCCAGCTCCCCTTCCTCAACCTCTACCACCCCTTCCTCCTTGTCCCAAGTGCAAGCATCTCCTTTGTATCGCCATACATCTAATATACCTTGCCTAGCATTCTGGGGACGTGGGCCCTCATCTTAAGGAGACTAAAATCCAGTTGGAATGATAAGACATATAATTAACACTTCTGGGTTACAAAGCCAGAAAATGACAAGAGCTCCCAACCCCATTTAAATTCCTTTTCTTCTACTGTGGGTTGAAGTTTGGAGGTCTTTTCTATAAATCTGAAGAGAAGGGGATGATAAAATGGTGAGCATTTCCTAGCTGGAAAGTCTGCTTCATAATCTGGTTCCTTACAGCATCTGGTCCCCTGCCAGCATGCAGTAGGACATCAAGAAATACCTGTTGAATGAATGAATGTACTAGTACATTTCCATGGATGAGTTCCCTAAAACTGTAGGCCAAATTTTGTGCACATTAACTTTCATTAGCTTTTAAAGCAGTCTCCATTTTTCTTCCCCCCAGAATGAGAACCACTTGCTAAATAATTAGCAGAGTACTTGAGGATGGAATTTAGATGAGAATCATTACAAAGAGTGCTCCTATAAGTAAATTTATACACAAACACAGATGGACTGGGGTGCCTGGGTGGCTCAGTCGGTTGAGTGTCCGACTTCGGCTCAGGTCATGATCTCATGGTTTGTGGGTTCGAGCCCCACATCGGGCTCTATGCTGACAGCTAGCTCAGAGCCTGGAGCCTGCTTTATATTCTGTGTCTCCCTCTCTCTCTCTGACCCTTTCTTGCTCACGCTGTCTCTCTCTCTCTCTCTCTCTCTCTCTCTCTCAGAAATAAATAAAAACATTTTAAAATTAAAAAAAAAAAAACATGGATGGAAAACCTCTATGTGCCAGGAACATATTGGGGATATGAAAAAGAACAAACAGCTGTGGTACTTGGCCTTATGGTACTTATCGTGTAGTGAACCCCTAGAATAGGTTTCTTAGACTGGCTGCACATTAGAATTTTCTGGGGGGGAGTGTTTTTAAAATATATATAAATACTCCACAGAGGTGTCCAGAAATCTGTACCTTTAAATAAGTTGCCTATACCTGGAATGTGATATAGACTATATTACCCTCCCCACAGAGACCTCCCATCCTTGACCCTTGGGCTTCAACAAAGACATCAGAGACTAGAAGAAAGCAAAAGTTACTTGCCAAGATTATAGCTATACATACTGAGAGACATTTTAATTTGTAGCGAAAGTAATTCATAGTATCTTCCCCAAACCCTCTTGCAGGGTCAGTATTTATTTGCCCAGTTTTCCATTCCCTACTTTCAATTCTCTCACTGTTTCCATTTTTTAAATTTACTTATTTATTTTTTAATTTACATTTTAGTTAGTTAATACACAACACAGTATTAGTTTCAGAAGAAGAATCCAGTGATTCATGACCTAACGTGCTATACCCAGTGCTTATCACAAGTGCCCTCTTTAGTACCCATCATCTATCTAGCCTACCCCCCACCCACATTCCTCCATCAACCCTCAGTTTGCTCTCTATCATTAAGAGTCTCTTGTGGTTTGTTTCCCTTTCTTCTCTTTTTATTTTTAAATTTAGGAATGAATATCAAAAAAATAGAGGAAGAAAATGCTAACAGTGGGAAAACTTTTTTTGGTTTATAGTATCTGGGTCTATGCTCATGAACTATCTTGCTAGTGAGACAAAGAGAGAAAAAGAAAGGCTTTCACAAGGAACCATAAAGAGAATGGCAGAGTGACTGAAAGTGGAGTTTGTCTTCAGATATACTTTGCTTTCTATTTTCCAACTTAGAATCCAAGAGCCACAAAATTAATGAAGCTCCTACTCTCTATTTTAAGAACTTTTTCTACCACCAGTTACCTTGAAACTTCCAATAGATTCCTGGGTGAGCCATCACTCACTGGATCCCTTTACATTTTCAATTTGGTGCCTACCACATGGATGCTGGCTGGCCTGGCTCAGACGCAGTTGCCAAAATTCTCTGCAGGCAAATATGATTCTAGACTGGATGGTAAAGAAGGAAAAGACCTGAGATGAAGGAAGAGGGGAAGGGAGAGAGAGCAGGATTGTGTTAGGCAAGCGAGCCTGTCACCGTTCCACAACCCCCTTCTCAACTAGTGGTGAACGGTCAGGTGCTATTTACTGCTCTTGTGATTGAGCTGTCTGCTCAGGCAGGGGGACATTAGGGTTTTATATGAAAGCATTTGCTATGGGAGAATCAAGGTGTAAAAAAAAGAAAGGAGAAATTTACCTCCTCTCAATCAGATTTCTAGTCCTCCAAGAATAGTGATTTTCTTAAAAACCTCAAAAACTAGCTAAACCCACTCAGTAGCATGAGAAACAGAAACTAGTCCTTTCCTAGGTCACACAAATTTAAAAAAATTGTCAGTACATATTTGCAAAAAGTGATTACAATTCCACCTTAAATTTCCTACCACAAGTATTCACAGAAAGATGCCATTTTCCAAAAGGACACCAAAGGGGAAGGTCTTAAATCGTAACTTATTATAACAGGTAGTTAATGCAAAGGTTAAATTAGGATCTTTTACAAAAAACGAATAACTTTGTATAGTCAACAACAATCAGGTTTTCATTAATTTAAAATTTTACCTTTAAAATGTGGTTGAATTAGTACTCCTTGATTTTAACATTAATATTTATATTCAAAAATCCCCCATGGCTCCTTTATAATATGCTCTGCTTTCATTATGGACATAAGAAATACTATGTATTTTTTCTCTTTTTGTTTTAAAGTTTATTTTGAGAGAGGGAGAACACATGTATGCAAGCAGGGGAGGGGCAGAGAGAGAGAGAGAGAGAATCACAAGCAGGCTCTGCACTGTCAGAGCAGAGCCTGATGTGGGGATTGAACTCATGATCTGTGAGATCACAACCTGAACCAAAATCAAAAGTTGGATGCTTAACTGACTGAGTCACCTAGGTGCCCTATAAATACTATATATTAAGATCTCTTAGTGCCAGGCTGTGTGCCAAGCACATGGTACACATCCATCTCATCTGATCACTATAGCCACCTGAGTGAGGTATGTATTCTTACCTTAGGATAAGCACTGAGAAATTCATTCTTCTTAAGTCATTTGCTTCCCTTCACTCAGCTAGTAAGGCAGAAAAGCAAGTATTCAAACCCAAGGGCTGGCCCAGCCTGATGGGAGTATTTTAGAAGGATACGTGCCCACATTCACTTACTCACTGAGCGGGGTACTCTGAGCCAGGATGAGCCACACGGAGACAAGCAAGGACTGTTGTCACAGAGCCTGTGTTCTAGCGGGGCAGAAACAACACAGGTGTTTCTGACAGTGAGTAAATAAAACCGCATGTTGTGACAGAGGGCCACTGGGAGGTCACTGGAGGCTGAATGGTAAGAGATGGTGTCTCCAAAAGGAGGACACCTAGGCTGAAAATACATTTCCAGGAGGCAGCAGTGCATGTGAAGATCTAGGGAAAGAGTGTTCTAGGAGGAGCCCTGGAGAATCCGGGCCCGAGATAGAGGCTTTTATAAGTTCTGTGTGCTCTGTGATCATGCAACTCTTTCAAGTTACTTGGCCCCTATGGGACTCAGGCTTATCTGTCTGTTGGCAGAGTACCACAATGCTGAAAGATGTGCTGAATAGGGACTTACCAAAAAATGATCCTCTAAGCACAGCCTTTGCTGGAAATCACGACAGTGGCAGTGGTGCTGTTGATCTGTTCCTACGCACAGAGGAGGGTGCCAGGGATGCACGTGGCCACCTCTGCATTCAGTGCCCAGAGTGACAGAGGTCCCCTTGCACCCCCTTTCACTTGGTAAACTTGAAGAGAACTGCTTTCTGTGGGTTTATGTGAG